ACTTATCTGTTGTATGTACATGACGCTCATCCCTATGTCTTATCTGTACTCCCTCCACCCTTTCACTCCCTACTACTGTTCTATGAGTATTTGCACATAAGCACTTACTTTTTAATGTATATAAAAAATAAAAAAAAACAACTGACAAAATAAAGGCTGGAGGATTATTTTGATAACCAACACAAGTTTGGTGTCTAATTTACGCTTCTCCAAGTGCACTTGAAAACAATTTGGGTTCCCCCGAATATAACAAAGATCAAATTGGATCTATATCATTACCATACCATGAGGTCTTACTTTGCTTTTTGCTTCCCTTTTCCTCTTCTTATAGACACTACAAGTTGAACATGTTTGACTCTAGTTTTCCCCAGGGTGCGCATGGTCAACAGACATTATTCTAGATATAATAGATACATGAGAGTACGGAGACAATTGATATGTACGTTTTATTTCTAGACCACAACGCACTAACTTGCTCTATTAAGAAGAGGACAACGCAGATTGTACTTGCAGCCAGCGAGCACCAAATACCACTCCACTAGAGGTTTAACTTTTCAGCGCTGACACATATGAATACAGGGTACCTCATCGACTTATTTTGTGATGTGTAAAATGTAAAACCTTTGGAACAGTTGTCTGATGTATTTTGTATTATAATAGAACCAAATACCTAGTGTCATCAAAGCACAGAAGAACTTCAAATTTTGCAACATATGTACTTCTGTGTCACATGGAATGAGCATTGTTGTAACACTATGTAATACCCTATAACACTCAAAAATTAGAAATAGAAAAAAAAAAAAGGCATACAATTGTGGGGTGATTTGACTTTATGTTCTGCAATGAAATTCCCAAAAGAAGATATGGGTTTTAGCATATACATAGCTGAAAATTCAAGTTTGAAAGCTGAAATAGACAGATTCCATATATGACCCTGTAACATCTCGAACATATGGGAAAGCACACCACATACTCTGATCGGCCACAACATTAAAACCACTGACCGGTAAAGTGAATAACAGTGATTTTATGGTTACAATGACACCTGTCAATGGGGTGGGATATCAGGCAGCAAGTGAACAGTCAGTTCTTGAATTTCATATGTTAAAAGGAAGAGAAAATTTCACAGTAACTTTCACTATGGCCAATATTGATGGCAAGATGATTGGGTCAAATCATCTACAAAACTGTACAACGTGTGGGGTGTTCCCAGTACACAGTGGTTAGTACCTACTAACATTTGTGCAAGGAAGGACATCCGGTGAACCGGCGTCTGGGTCATGAGATTGTTGCAGAAAAGATAGCTTAAAATCAGGTATTCATCCCTTCCTGGCAATGGTGTCACTTTATGGCAGTGGACGCTTTTTTTAGGATAATGCCTTCTGCCACACTGCAAAAATTGTTCAGTAATGGTTTGAGGAACATGAAAGAGTTCAAGGTGTTGCCTTGGCCTCCAAATTTACCAGATCTCAATCTAATTGAGCATTTGTGGGATGTACTGGAACAAAAAATCCCATCCATTGAGACCCTACCTCACAACTTGCAGATCTGCTACTAATGTCTTGTGCCAGATACCACAGGACACATTCAGAGACCTTGTGGGGTCCATACCTTGATGCATCAGAGCTATTTTGGCAGCATTAGGGGGATCAACACAATACAGAAGGTGGTTTTAATGTTTTGGCTGTTCAGTGTATATTTTGCATCAAATTGAATGTAGACTTCGCTCATTAGCAAATAGCGTATTTTATTATTAACGGTCATAAAATAAATGTTTACCTTAACTCGTTTAGGATTAACTAGATCAGAGCTTGACAAATTTGCCTTGATTCTAGGAGCCAGCTAAAAAAGTTAGGAGCCAGATTTTCTTAAACTTGCATAGCTTTATATTCAACGACAAAAATACAATTCTTAAATGGACAGGATAATCACAAGGACCATTACAGATTAATGTAGTGATTCTGGTGTCTATTGCCTGTCTCTGCAGGCTTTTCAATGTAAACACTGACTTTTCAGAGAAAAGGCAGTGCTTTACATTGCTTTCTAGTGACACCTCAAGTGACAGTCACTAGAGGTGCTTTCTGTGTCCCTGCCGCACAGTGTTCAGCACCTACAATTAGCGTCTCCACGCTCCGCATGGAAACACTGAATTTTCCCCATTCAATTCAACTGATTCAATGCATCTCTGTGAGCAGATGCTGATTGGTGCAACGTTTTGCAGCCAATTCTATAAGAAATCATTGGATAGAGGCAGGGCCAGTCAAGGGGAGACCAGCATGCCGTGGGAAAAAAAAAGACGAGTGTAAACACCATTTCCTTGCGAATAGAAGGGGTCTGGTAACCTAAACACACACATAACACACGCATGTACCATGACAGACACAGACCTATACACACACCCGCACCATGGCAGACACACACAGACACTGACAGAGACCCGAACACTCACACTATGACAGACAATACCTGTGGGGACCAGTGGGCAACCAGCTGGGGGATCATAGAGTTGAGCGGCATGCTGGGTGGTCATGGAGGCGGGCGGCTAGCTGCGTTTATTACTGCCAGGCGGCGAGGGAGCTCTGATGTCCCTGCTCTGCTCCCCAGTGCACCGCTTAGAGAGATCAGGGCCAGAATATGATGTCATATGCCGCCCTGCCTCCACGAACCCCTAGCCTGCCGCCCGGCTCCATAATTTCACAGCAGGCCTCCCACTCACAAATTGGTGCAAAATTCCTAGGCAACCTGGCACTTGTCGAGCCCTGAACTAGATAAGTATCACAACTTTAAACCTACTGACATCACATTAGGAGTGTAAACCTAAACATGCTCCAGATGTTTAAATCCCCACCAGGTAGAGAGATGAGCTGTACATGTATTCCATGGAGGCCAATGTTGTGACAATACATTTTTCATGGAAGGACTGCATTATCTATGGGACAATCCTGTAACATGTCTGGCTGAGCGTCACAGCAAGTCAAAGGCACATGTGTGGCTCAGCATTATGGAACTAGCAGTTTACAATAGAGGACAAGACTGAAACGGTTTCACTACCTCCGCACTGTGAGCTGCACTGGGCACTGACATTGTTTTATGTAATCTGGGATACAGACAGTTACTAGGAAAAAATACTACCCCTGTTCAGCCCCTGTAATGACTGTAGGTATTCAGTGTAATAGTACTTACTGTGCTCAAGGGATAACAATACATAGCACACAGTGAGTGCCCCCTACCATACATGGGAGATTACAATTGCCGCATGGTGTTAGCAAGTAGATGCCTCCTAGCTAACCACATCATGCCAGTGTCCACATTTGGGAGATGGTATGCTAACAGAGATAGCCGCCAAATGTATTTATTTTATTGTTTTTAGTATATTTGAGCGGAGCACCATAATAGCAATAAAACAAAAAGCGCTATAATACGCTTGAAAAAACAATAAATAATATGTGCTAAAATACACTTTTACCCACAAATCTAATATAATCAACCTCAAGGAAAGTATGTAAATGCAAGAATTTTGTACATGCTTGGTTATGATTGTTGAAATAATGAGGTGTGCAGATATTGAATATTTAACAAAAAAAAAATCATGGTTACTATATAGTTAAATATTTTTCATATGAAATAGTCAACATATTTACAAAAATATTTTCTAAAGCTCCGCAAATCAAACATTTAAAACTGACAATCTGAAGAATTTTACATATCTAAATTACATAGCTAATTAAATGAGCCTTAAAAATTATTATAGTCCAATTAAAGCAAATCTTTGCTCCATATTGGTGTAGATTTTTTTTTTATCATTGATAGCGGGATTTCAAAAAACTAGCGATTACAAATTGGAGATAGAATTGTCTGCAATACAAAAACAGCCCTTCAAACCCAAGGGAAAAAATATATATATATATATTGTGTCAATTGTGTTTATTCAATAGTCAGGAATGCAAAATAATTATAAAGTATCTCCATATTATGAATTTATAGGCAGATGTTAAATATAATTTTATACAACTGGGGAAAAACAAAAACTGAACAGAATAGGTTACTCACTAGCCTAATGTGCGTTATTTAAATTTCATTTAAAGTTTTAGGTCTCAATAGCTGGATTGGGATGAAACATTTCAGCCATTTTGGCTTAGAAATGTGAAGTTAATTTTACAGTTGCCAACATTACAGACTAGTGACTTTTCAGCAGTTGTCAATAAGTGTTTAAATGTCATGACCTGCTGTACATATGAGGGGGGCTTAGATTTGCATGGTCACATTCAATGCAGAAATTCAATGCTTATGTACTCTTGGATATTTAGTGTATACACATTTAATATAAGTTAATTTAAAGTATACATTTAAATTATTAACAGCAAAGGTTAGAAATAGAGCGAGAGAGAAAAAAAAACAAAAAAAAACAACCTTTTCAGTTAATGATACACTGATAAAAACTAATCAACAGAAACAATAGCCATTTAAAACCCAGGCTACAAACTTCATAAAGGGTCGTGAGCATCTCTATGGCAACTACACATTCACACCAAAGAGGAGAGGTAAATGTGCTTTATGTTACAAAGAGATCATTTCAATTCTTATTCTAAACCAAATTATCAGCTTCAGCCAGGGGTGAAAAGCATTTTAAAAAGGCTGCCTAATCACCATTACAAATACCATGGTGCAGACAGCAAGCCTTCACGTTATTAAAAAGTAATTATATCCTGAGTGTACATTGATATCCCTGGGTCATTTTATGGTGCCCCCTTTACATTACCAGAGCAATTAATGGATACATACTGCAGGACACCTCTGACATAAGGAATACTCTGCACAATGCATTATTAACATGACCAAGTTATATTAAAATATATATATATATATTATTATTATAGACCACTAGGTAGCCCCCTCCCCAATAATAAATAAAGTCCCATATATACCACCCTATAAATGCAATGGCCGTGCTCTGAGGTATAGTAACTCACTCTGCCCAATATGTTAAAGCAGCACTGGTCCTAGTTTACCTCACCCCGAGGCTTAGCCCCTTTCCCTCTGGTATTTTAGGAGCCCCTGACCTGCTCGGACACAGCTCTGAAGAGACACGAGGCATCCTTGGCGGTGAGCTTCCTGTACAGCCCCAGGCTCCCCAGGTATTCATCCATAGTCACTTCATTCAGAGACTTCTGCCCGAAGTACTTCTTCCATCCTTTGTGCATGGTGGCCCCTTGAAAGAGACAGAGTGCTCCTCTGGGGCAGCACGACACGACGCCAGCACCACCAATTTACTCCCCTATTGGGGGGGGCGGCTCCTGGAGCTTCCTTATATAGCTCTCCCGCCCCCCTACTGCGGCTAACTTAGGTGGATTCCTCCCTGAGGAGAGCAAGCTGCAACTGTATACAGACCCCACCACTCACTACCACCAAACCTGTGTATATAGCTAGGAATGGGGTGCACTGGGCTACTACCTGTATACATGACTTACAGAACTGACTGCCTAGCCTAGTGTGGGTTTAGAAATTAGCAAATAGGGGGAGGCCTTGTATAGTAAGTTTGTTACCATATATAAAAACTAAAAAAAAAAAAATGTTATTTATTAAATGATGCTGTTATTACAAATGTTTTAGACACACCACCATGTGAATGTCTAAGTTTTTAATTGGAGAGGAGGTAAAGGGCAACTTACAAGAGATGGGATATGTTTACATTTATAAACACCACCTAGGCCTTGAGCTCTCTAGAGGTTATGTATAAAGATGGTGCAGGGTGGAAAGTGGTGCAGTTGTGACACATTTTGTAATTGGACTTATGTGGGTTAAAAAAAAAAAAAGTGACAAATTTGACAAGAACAATTTGCAAAAGCGCCCCATTGTTTCTCTCATGTTTAAAGCCCATTTAGACATCTTTAGACAGTGAATGTGGGTGCAAAGGTAAACATATGACCAAGCATAACTTCAGGGTTGAAATCCAAATGTCAACATAGGCAAGCTGTGTCTATATTAGATTATTATTTATACATAAACTGCAATCCATAACTCACAACACTGGAAAGCATGAAAATAGGATGAATGTAGGCCTAAAACAGAAAAGATAGTGATGCCAGTTGGAGGGGTGAGTCAGCATGGCATGAGTGCACACCAGGCTGACTGACAGCCTCCAAGACCAACTCCACTCAAGGCAGACCTTACAGAGTTTGCTACTGAAACCCTCTTCATGCCCTCAGCAGTGTTCTCACTGTGCTTGCTGGGTACAGTTTCTTGGTTTCTCTGAATGTGGGTCACCAGGCAACCAGACTAAGATGATGGCATGGGGGCCCACAATTGGGAATCCAGACAGCTGTCTGGTATGGGCAGTCTATTAACTAATGTTAGTGACCAGCAGACCCATAATGGTTAGTGCAAGACTTTAAATATACTAGCACATAGCAAACTTTAAAGAATATCTCTATATTACAATAATAAAAAAAAAAAGACATTATAAAATAGAATGAGAACTAGGTCTTTAAAAACCCAGGTACAAGAAATACAAAATACAATTTCACATTACTTATTAAAGAAAAAAAAATGCTAATGAAAGACATCTTGTCAGATCCACCGTGTTTTCTGGATACAAATAACCACTTCGATTTGATAGGTAATACATGAAAATATTTGCCCCACAGAATGTGAAAATCAGCTGCTGCAGTATTTCTCTTTGATTACTAGACAGCTGGAAAAATTGGTTTTGGATATTTGATTTTTTTTCTAAGTAAAATCCTTGTTAACCCACACTCAAACTAATCAATCCGTCTTAGATTTACCCATGACGTCTTCTGCGTTGAGTTTGACCCCACATGTAAATTCCAGATGGATCAATTTGTTTGGGTATGAATTAAAAGGAATTTAATGTGGATAAACCAGCTAAAACTATTTTTTCACAAGTCTATTGATTATTTGATTTTCCACCTACATCATTTCAATTGGACATATTGCAGGGCAGCATATTGTGTGTTATGCCCATCAATATGTACAAGTAATGTGTCCATGAAAACATGGTGGATCGGTGCTGATGAGCAGCACAGAAGAAGTGCCTTCTTGCCATCTAATTAATTTACATGTTGCAGAAAGGATGTCAGTTAGTTAAGACTGACCCAGTGGTCTTCCATCTTAAATAAGTGAGTCCCCTTCTCTATCCATAAATATATGGTAACTTTAGTAATTAAAGCTCTGCACATATGAGTTATAGTTTCTCATGTTTCCCTGACAAATATCACTTAATGGGCAACAGAAGGCAGGTTCTGTTTTACAGTATGTTGAATCCATTGGTGCAGGAAGGCAATCATGGTAATCACTGTTCATTCTGCATAATGCTGGGCAGCAGTTTTCCTGTACTGACCGTCAAAATGCATAAGTGCTATGTGTCCATAAAAACATGGTGGACATGGCAACCTTGCCTGCATCCAATAGAGAGTGGTATATTTTTGTAATAAATTTCATTTCTTTCAGGCAATAAAAAAAGTTATAGAGTTAAAAAAAGTTTTGTAGAATCAGAATGAAATATGCATTTACTTATTGTAGAGCTGTATTACTAGTTTCATGATTTGTATTTATCTGTTTTCTTTTTTCCTTTTATAATTTATACAACCCTGTTTAATTAACCCCCTCTAGTAGAAAATTCAGCCCCCATGATCCTCATATATTTAACAGAATATGAGGTGCATGGGTCTTAGGGTTAAAACATTTGATTTAAGTTTTTACTTCCATATATATCCCAGTTTAAAAATAAAGGCCTGAGAATATAAATGATTTTTCTGCTATACACATAACTGGCGTGTATTTATATAATTTTAACCTTGGTCTTTAAATATGATGATCCAAATAAGAGAGTGTTTGAATTGTTCCTTATTGCCTGCTGAGCCTGTTACACAATCGCCTGCGAATGGTTGCATGTCCAAACCCCTCTTTACTATTTCATCTAATTTAATTGTTTCAGTTGTTGGAATTAAACCATTGGGATTTTCAATCTAACATTCAATGTTAACCAAGGGAAACCTGTAATGAAGCAATGATTGATTAGCACATGTGAGTTATAAAAGCTGATTGATTGTGTCTAACATTTAACCACCTGTGTACATCCATGGTTATATTACATCCATTCCCTGTACTAATGCTAGACTTTGTTTCTCTCTTTATACAAGATCTTTTTTTTTTTTACTATTATTTAATAAGAGACATAAATGCCATTTAGAAAAGTAGGAAATAAGTTAGAGGGGCCAGCTCTATCATATTTGTCTTGGCATATTGCGTTCCTTTATAGCACTGGTTTGTGCATGAAAAGTGCTACAAATCCTTAGCATTCAGATTCTGCAGAACAACATTCAGTCAATCAAGGAAGACTCCAACAAATGTTGACTTTCTTAGCTTGTTAATTTCCCCCTACTGCACATGAATTCCAAATATTATACTTTATAAATCATCATAAAGAAGTTATCAGTGTCCAAGAAAATGTGGTGGTAATCATATTACCACAAGGTTTTAAAGCTAAACTTTGTCCTCATTAGTATAGCACTAAAAAAATTTAAAGGATTTATACTACACACTGAAATTTAGCAAACTTATGTTAAAGGGACACTGTAGTCACCAGAACAACTACAGCTTAATGTAGTTGTTATGGTGTGTATAGTCTGTTGGTACAGTGTTTACATTGCTGCTTAGTAACACATCTAGCGGCAGTCATTCAGACGGCCAGTAGAGCTGCTTCCTGGGTCAGTGCTGCACAATGTGCAGCAGTGACGTTCAACATCTTCACCATTTGCAAAGAGGCACTGAACACTCCCCATAGAGATGATCAGCTCTGTGTTTTGCCGTGCATGCTCAATAGCTTCCCTATAAAAAAGCATTGGAATTGCAGAGATCATCAAGTTTCATGATCTCAGCCAAGGGGGCGGATCATGGGCGGGACCAAGCCGCTACAGACTGATGCGGCTCTGGAAAAAAGTTGTTTAAAATCACTTTTCACTTAGTGTGTCAGGGGGCCGGGGGCCTAAAATGTGTTTTCATAACTATAGTAATACAAGCACGTTTGTATTAAAGGACCACTATAGTGCCAGGAAAGCATACTCGTTTTCCTGGTCCCCCTCACCCTCAGGGCCCCCTCCTGCCGGGCTCTAGGGTGAGAAGGGGTTAATCCCTTACCTTACCTCCCGGCGCTGGGGATTCACGCGCACATTCAGCCAGTCTATAGGAAAGCATTCTTAATGCTTTCCTATGGACGCTGGCGTCTTCTCACTGTGAAAATCACAGTGAGAAGTGCGGAAGCGCCTCTAGCGGCTGTCAGTGAGACAGCCACTAGAGGCTGGATTAACCCATATGTAAACATAGCAGTTCCTCTGTAACTGCTATGTTTACAGCAGAAAGGGTTAATCCTAGATGCACCTGGCACCCAGACCACTTCATTAAGCTGAAGTGGTCTGGGTGCCTATAGTGGTCCTTTAACTATCACTATAGTGTTCCTTCAATATATAATAAGCTGCAAGGTTACTTGATAAATTGTGAATTGTAAGGAATTGTCAGAATGGCAGATGAGCAGCATGCAGCACTTTAAATGGGGATTTAAATCCCCATAGATGGCAATGTAGTGAGTTAAATAAATATGGGGGGCCACAACTACTGGCCCCAGACTTTTTGATAAGGTGTATGCAGTGCTGGAAGTTAGTGCTGCATTCAGATATTTAAATCTATAGAGAACACCATGACTGAGCAACCACACTAAGCCACAGTGACTCTGTATATGCAGCCTGCTTGTGGGGGCCCCTGCATGGTCTACCATGATGCCCAATGGTATTATTATCAGTACCAGGTTTTTTCAGTTACCTGGCACCGATCATAGTATAAAAGCATTGAATTTTCAGTGTGAAAATATATATATATATATATATATATATATATATATATGGCCAGCAAGGAAATTCCTCGGCTGACATCAGCAGAGGAAATCATTTTAATACTATTACCAGTGGCGTACCTTCCGCGGTTGTAGGGTTGCAGTGCCTGCCGGCCCGCGCAGTACTACCGCCGGGCCCTTGTGTTGTTGAGTGGCCTATGCTATTAGGACCACCCAACGCAATGTATTTCCAGGGGCCCGGTCAGCACTGAGGTGCTTTAACAGCGCGACCGGGCCCCTTGTGATGACTTCTGAGCGCTGGGAGGAATTGACAGCCAGTCACTTCCTCCCAGCTTACGCATAGAGCCGCAAGGGAGGAAAAGGAGGGGAGAGAGTCAGAGTGGGAGCTCTGACTCCCATCAGCCTGAGCCAGCCACTGAAACCCAGATAAGTCTGGCTAAAAATGTTTAAATTTTACATTTGTCTGTATGTGTATCTGTGTATCTTTTTGTATGTGTATCTGTATGTCAGTGTATTCCTCTATGTATCTGTATGTGTGTCACTGTTTTTATCTGTATGAGTGTAATTCTGTGTATCTGCATGTGTGTCTATATGTGTATCTGTCTGTATGTCAGTGAGTGTCTGTGTATCTGTATGTCAGTGTTTGTATCTGTAGGAGTGTCATTCTGTGTCTGCATTTGTCGGTGTGTGTATCTATGTGATTGTGTATCTGTATGTATGTTAGTTTGTGTGTCTGTGTATTTGCATGTGTGTCAGTGAGTGTATCTGTGTGTCTATATCTCCATGTGTCTGTATATCAGCATGTGTGTCCGTGTATGTATGTGTTAGATGATGTGTATCTGTATGTATGTCAGTGTGTGTTTGTTTGTTTATCTGCATGTGTGTCAGTGTATCCTCCTGTGTGTTGTGTATTTGTCACCCCACACACACTGTCACTCACCCATGCCATCACTCTGTCATACTCACCCTATCACACTCACCACTCTATCATACTCACCCTATCACACTCATCCCCCCATCCTGTCACAATCATTCTCTTTCACTATGTCACACTCGCCCCCTTTTACCCTGCCACATTCACTCTATTAAATTAACCCCTCCAATTCTGTCATACTCATCCCCCCCACCACCACCATGCCACACTCACCCTTTTGGGACATGAATGAGACTCATATAGGGGATGGGGGTTGTGATACATTGAGGGTCTGGGGTGGATGAGTTGTATGGGGTAATAGATGAAAAAAGGCATCTCAATAAAGCTAAAAATATATCTTATGAGATTCTCCAAGCTGTCCACATTTGAAGACAGTATGCATTTATAGCATGATTTGAATATTTGAGCTAACATGCCACAAAATTTAACAGGGACCCAACTGACAATTTCTTTTTAAATGCACAAAAAATGCAAAGAGGGTCATTCGATACTCAGGAAATACAGCTGTGCACAATTTAGTGATATTTTTTTTTTTTATTACTGTAAGTTTACAAAATAAACTGATACATTTTCACACGCATATATAAATATGCAAAAATAAAATTATACCATACACTTTGAAAGAAATTGGTGCTAAAATAGCTGTACAATAATGTTCAAAATATACTATATGACATAAGTGTGGTATCTACTATTATATAGCGTGGTGTCTTTCTCCCGCCTCACTCTCTGATCTTCACACAAGATATTTACGATCCTCTGCGAGAATGGTGTCTATTTTCTATCAAACCTGTGTCTTATCTGCACACTTTGCCTCCTCTAGTTAAGTTTCTAAATTTCAGGTTTCACAGTAGGTGTCAGCACAGGCGTCATTTCACTTCGATCAGGTATTGGGGTTCGTCCTAACCTCAAATCTACTAGTTAAGACGCATTTAACTTAATTACTGTTAGTGGCAGAATCAAGTATTGGTTTCTTGCTGGGGCCCTTCTGACAACCCCTTTATTTGTGGGTGCACCTACCATGTTGGCCTAATCAATGGAAATCCCAATAATATCTGCTCAATTTTACAATCGGCTACTCGTTCTTTAAGGCATTAGGCCATGGTATTTGGCCTATCTTAAGGGCAACAGAAGCAGCCTGACTAATAAAATGCCATATTTCTCATTTTCAAGTTACTCCCAGTGCATCGGTCCCAGTGGCATTTGCACGATATTTAGCGAACTGAGCATTCTACTTTGTCACCAGTCTTACGTTTGGAGTGGAGAGATTCCCAAACTATTCTGAAGGCTCCTCTTTCACGTCAGTACTGTCCCTCAGTAATACATTTACATGAGTGTAACGATTATGGAACTGATTGCCATACCCTGAAGCAGATGTGTCTTGCATCTCATACATCCTTTGGAACTCTGCTGTCTCGATCAACCTTTGGCCCCTACACAAATTTTTTTTCTGGAAATACATTAGCCTTGATTTCATTGCAGTTCAGCCCCCCCGCAGACTAAGTCCAGCATATCAGGGAAAGGGAAAATCCTTTCGGGGCAACGATGCCTGTTTCCTATATGGATCTCCAGTCTCTCTTTGTTCCTCTGAACTTTACCATGCACCTTACACAAGGGAGCTCATTTATTTCCCATCCACGCAATCTGCTCCCAGGTTCACCTGTTAACAATAGTGTGGTTACATTCAAAACATGCTTGAACAGACCTGTTCATGTCACTAAACTTTCTATCCCACCAGAACAGGGAAACCATGTTCACTCCACCATTGTATCTCATTTATGGACTATTACAGCTGCCCACACTGGATTGCAGCCAATTTCATAGTTAATTGGGTCCGTGACACATTTCCCATTGTGACACGGAACCTACGCTCTTTTAGTAAATCAGTAGCATGGGAATTATTACCAGTCAGTCTCTTTCACTAACAATAAGGTTGATTAGGAAGAGATCTGGCTGGCAGCATCACAGAAACTCTTTGTTCACATAACCATCCAAGGCTGTCACAACATAGTGACCGATGAGGTGACTTGATCACAATTTTTTCGTATTCTTCCAAACTCTCCCCACAGAGAAACAACCTACCAAACCCCTACATTCCAGGATTTAATTGCTGGCACACTCAACATTCTCTTCCATTGCCACCTGTTCATGCGCAGGGCTCTGGCCATTTTCAATAAACTCACTTCCGCATATCAAATCATCAAACCATCCATACTCATTTGATTCCATGGCAGCATTCACATATTTTATGTCACCTCAACCTTTAACCCCTTAGTGACCAGACCGTTTTTCAATTTTCTTACTGTTAAAGGACCATGGCTGCTTTTACATTTCTGCGGTGTTTGTGTTTGGCTGTCATTTTGCTCTTACTCATTTATTGCACCAACACATATTATATACGTTTTTTCTCGCCAATAAATAGTCTTTCTAAAGATAGCATTATTTTCATCATATCATCCATCCGTCCGCCTCCGTCAAACGATTCTCCTAGTGCTCGCCAAGGACCATCAGCACCGCACTCGACACCATAACCACAGCAAACCCTACGAACCGCTGCAGCTTGGTTGGAGTTTCGCCGTCCTCCACACACCCTGGACCCAAGACCGGGCTCCAGCTTCCAGTGGATGAACCTCTCCTAAATCCAGAGCGCAGGAACCAGGAACAAAAACAGCTCTTACAAACTTATAGCAATCCCCAGAGTGTAGGTCTCCAATCCCCCAAACATGAGCCAAGACTTCATGAAGGGGTAAGCAGGTCTGTTTAATGAGCACAAAGGCATTTCTTATATACAGTTTTCCCCACAAGGTTACCACCCACGTGGAGCACAGGGCACAAAGTCACAACAGCCAATCAACACATTATTGTATAGTTAGACACTCCTAGCTAATGTACACAAACCTTCCCCTCTGCCTGAGATACAATTAACAAACACAATGGACTAACTCTTACCACAGGCAGAAAATATCCAGTTTTACCCAAAGTCCAGAAACACCCCAAAACAGTTGGAAAAACGGCACCTCGGAGGGGATATGAAAACATTATACAAATATATTCGGGGTCAGTACAAACCATTATCTGGAAATCTATTCATAACCTGGGCTATACATAGGACACAAGGTCACACATTTAGGCTGGAAGAAAGGAGATTTCATTCAAGGCTAAGAAAAGGTTTTTTTACAGTAAGAGCAATATGGATATGGAATTCACTGCCTGAAGAGGTGGTTTTGTCAGAGTCCATACAGATGTTTAAGCTGAAATTGGATAAATACTTTGAAAAACATAACATACAAAGATATTTCGTATACAATAAGCCATACATAACTCGGCTTATTGTATACGACCACAAATATACTCACACATACATATATTAATTAATATTATCGTGAGCTCTGTGATATTAACAGGAATTTACTGGAAGTCCTTACTGAGGGTCACTTCACTCATCTCAACCTGCTACAACTTTAATGACGCCAAAGACACTTTCACATTCAGCCATTTTATTTTAAATGTGTCATATCTGATCAGTCAGTATTGATATGTTGATGCAACCCTGCTCACACCAAAACTGCAGGATATTCCATGCCAACTTAAAAGCTATAGTAAGACAGACAGATCATCCTACCTACATATTTACTAGGCCAGTTCAATTTATATTTTTGTTATTAAAATGTAGGCTTTCACAGATTCTAAAAAACAAATAACAAAAAAAACAAGACCATGACTATAAAAAGAACAAGGCTTTTTTATTACTAAATTTACACATTGTTGATGGCATATCATAAAAATACATTAAAACAAAGTTAATAAATTTCTGCTATTTATACCCTATAACTTCATCTAAAAATGATGCAAATATTTCTGGGTGTCCAGGTTCATATGGCTTCAGAGCTGAAAGGTCCATTGTTAGCAATGTGTCCCCAAGGGTGCTAAAAAAAATAAAAACAATTATTAGAATATAAAAGAGTATATTTTCACAAATCTTACAAATCTCATTCTTTAACGGAACACACTTGTTTAGCAACCGATTCTATTCTGAATTGTATAATGCCAATTTCTCAATTGCTATAAAACTATGGCTGTAGTGGCAAAAAAAAAAAAAAAAAATAGGTCACCCTAAGCACCATAACACCTTTGCATTAGAAGATAGTGGTGTGTCTTGCAACTGGCATGAATGGTGCAGAAAGTTCTCCACAGTAATTTCTATAAGCTAGAGTGCCATCTAGTGGTCATATGTGGCTAGAGTCTCTGCAAATCTTTGTACTCCGCTTGGTTCACAAAACGGCAGCCTTAGATGTACATAAACTGATGGCAGCCCAACCACCGTTTGTTTCTAGTTTATACATTTCCACTCATGTAATAATGGCACTGCTGCAGAGGAATAAATTGCTTATTCCACAAACCTCTGCTAGGCAGGCATTTATGGCAAAATAACAGATTCCATAGACTTGAATGGGAGGTTTCTGGTTGGTGCGGTTAGTTTTTGAATATTGTGTTCCTTTCAAAGGAATACTTTGGTTTGATTCAAACCTCCAACTTATTTCAATGAAGTCATAATGGGGACTGTAGTCCTAGGTAACATCTTATCTAACGGGATTAAAGTGTTTTCGTATGCTTTATTCCTGAAGCTCCTGTCCACACTGCTTCCTCACAGATCTGGATGGCCTACCTTGCGTGCCAGTGGTAGTCTAGACCACCAGCTGCTACTCTCAGCATATTACTAGCTGACCATTTCAAGTAACAGTATGTCCTGTCGCTCACAATACTCCTGATGCTAGATCCAAATAAAAATAAATAAATAGGTCAGAGTAGCAAAGTTCACGAACCGTCAAGTAGTGAAAAATATCAGTGTGTACTACTAAAATAGTTTTTATGAAATGCAGACTGAGATCACTGGTGACGAGACTGTTGGAATCGGTTATAATATGGTCTTATTTCTAGCATAACCAAGTGACACAAATGTTTGGCAGAGGGTTCATTTGCAACACTTTACTCCTGCAATGAACACATTGCTGCTTCGGATACAAGGCAATGTTTGCATTGTAGGGTTAAATACACTAGTTCTCACACTGACAGCCACTAGATGGTGCTTCTGCACCTACAACTAAGTCAGACTCTTTTCTTTGATGCTAGACATCTTCACACACTGCCTAATGATGTTGAATGTCGCCTGATGCTTCTCGCAGAGAAGTGTTGGATTCAGTGCTTCTCTATGAAAAGCATTTAATTGACAGAGTACAGCATTTGCCATGTATGAGCTTTTCATCCAAAATGCATATCTATGAAAAGCATTTGATTGGACTAAAAGTCAGCAAGTAGGCATTTTCCTTAATGATGAGGAAGTAGATATCAGGGTGCTGCAATGACTGTGTCTTAGTGCTGGAAACAGTAAGTAAAGTAAAGACAATTAGCACTACATATTTAAAGGACCACTATAGTGCCAGGAAAACAAACTCGTTTTCCTGGCACTATATAGTCCTTAGGTCCCCCCCACCCCCAGCGCTGGGCTCCCTCGGCACTGGTGATCTCTCCTCCCCCTCCGACGTCAACTCCCGAGTGGACTCAATGCTTTCCTATGGACGTTCTGCGTGCTTAATGCTATTTTCGCATTGAGTGTTGCAGAAGCGGATCTAGCGGCTGTCAGGAAGATAGCCACAATAGGCTGGATTAACCCTGAAATGTAAACATAGCAGTTTCTCTGAGTTTACAGCTGCAGGGTTAAAACCTGGGGGACCTGGCACTTAGACCACTTCATTGAGCTGAAGTGGTATGGGTGACTATAGAGGTCTTTTAAAAAGGAAAAAGAAGGGACAGAGTTCACTATATTAGAAGGGACCTTTTAAGGCCCTCCAATTTTATATATAATTTTTTTACGGGACTGTAGTTTCCCTTGAGCATATGCCTAATGATTTAGAATTAGCTTATAAAATATCTTGTATTAATAAGATACCTGCATGTGCAGTAGTAGAGATGTCCATCTTTATAAAGTTGTTTCGCTAGCTCAGTTTGATGATTGTCCATGAGGTTTTCATTTACGACCGCAATGAGAGGTTTTCCTTCTCCAAGGGCTTCTAGGCAGCTTCCTGCACCTAAGATTTAAAAAGAAATTCGTAAAAAAATAAACAAAAATACACATTTTACCTATGGCTGGGCAATGTGGGAAGGAAAAGGGACTGAAGTATATATCTTTTAGATGTGCAAGAATAATTTATAAGAAAAAGGGGAGAAGAAAATAAATAAAGCTACCTGTCATGAGGAACAAGGATGGTGAATGGTCTGAAAACCAAACTGCTTGGATAAAAGCTCACAGACCTTTACTTGTGTGAGTGTCAGTTTAGTTCTGAATTTCATCCAGACCATTTTACTACCTATATATTGTTTAAGGGACAAATAGGGCTTCAATTTGATACCTATATCAAGTAATAAAAACCAAATCAAGGTTTCGTTATAATTCCAAAATAACTGATGCAGCATCCTTCAAGGGGATATATAAATCTGACACAGATTTCAGGAATACTGCACATACCTTGGACTTCCTAATAAAATAAGGAATGCATCATTATTTCAATTAGAAATGTTTCAAAGTTTACATTTTTGTATTTAACCCTATCCTGACGTAATGCTATGTGGTCCTCCAAAAGGACGTCTTTGAGAATGTTCAGACGGCATAGAACATCCTAACATTCTTCTCCCATTCAGGCATACTCCGTGCTATATTGCAATCAGGTATACTTGCCTGGCAACTCAAACAGTCCTCCAGCAGCCACTCGTCACTGAGTCACATGAGTTATAGCCTGTCACCATGATCACAGATACAATGTCACAGCCAATTAATTGTGCTGTGTGTGTGTGTGTGTGTGTAAGGGGGCGCAGTATGTGACTGTTAGATTGTCTAGGGCCTATATATTGTGTGGAGTATGGGAGTGGAGCAAATATGCTTTAAAAAAAAAAAAATAAAAAAAATAAAAAAAAAAGAGATAAATAATTTAGGCAGAGTTTACTCATCTCACAAGTTCCACAGAGCATTGCCATGGTAACCTGCGGCAATGCTCTGAATTGTGCAGCTTGCGGTAGGAACGTTCAGCCTCCCGGGTCCTCCTATTCCCACACTCTCCTGCAGTGCATTGTCTGTGGGCAATGAAGGCACACAACAAGGCCGGCACTTCAATACTGCAAACTCTGCATGTGCTGGAAAGTGAGATCATTTGATCTCCCCTGTGGGCCTCAGCCCATGATAGCCCACCTGGAATTTCCCTGGTCTACCCAATGGCCAGTCCAGGCCTGCATCGGGGACATAGAATAAGTGTGAGTGCACTTAATGTGAAAGAAGTAAATTATAGTTTAACAGACATCGCTTAAATTCTAGGTTTTGCTTTGGTTCAGCACTTGGACAATCGCCTCAGTCCTTAAAGGAACATTATATTGTTAGGAAAACAAATATGTATACCCAACACTATAGTGCCCAAGTGGCTGTTGCAGTGAAAACATTTTTTTAACCTACATCTTCTCCATTGCGGCACCGGACTCACCGTAACCGATCCCATCTCCATGGCTGATATTATTAATCTTGATGATCTCGGGCAATCCAATGAGAGGCTATTGCACATGCGCGGAAAAAAAATGCTACTCCAAACAGCATCTCCTCATGAATGCATTGAATCAATGGTGATCTATAAGGAGCATTCAGCATCTCCATGTAGAGTAGGGAGACGCTAAACGCTGCACACTTAACTTAACTTAACTAAACTAGGAAGCACCTCTAGTGGCCTTCTGAATGACTGAAAATGTAGCATTAACATTGAAAAGCCTAAAGGGCTGTAAACACCAGAACAACTACATTCAACTGTAGTGGTTCTGGTGCCTATAGTGTCCCTTTAAGGGATTAAACATATACAGTTGCAAGAAAAAGTATGTGAACCCTTGGATTTAATAACTGGTTGAACCTCCTTTGGCAGCAATAACTTCAACCAAACGTTTCCTGTAGTTGCAGATCAGACGTGCACAACGGTCAGGAATAATTCTTGACCATTCCTCTTTACAGAACTGTTTCAGTTCAGCAATATTCTTGGGATGTCTGGTGTGAATCGCTTTCTTGAGGTCATGCCACAGCATCTCAATTGGGTTGAGGTCAGGACTCTGACTGGGCCACTTCAGAAGGCGTATTTTCTCTTTTTTTTGCGTCAGATATTGGGACTACTTTACGCCATTATCAAATCGCATTATCAAAGTCCCATATCATCATATGCTTAAAACATTCCAAGACAGAAGGGGAAGAGAAGAGAAGAAAGAAAGAGGAAAGAAAAGGGGGGGGGGGGGGGGGGGGTTCTGCCAATACTTCTAACCTTAGTGGTCTATTAACTCATCCTCAGTATGTCTTGCTATGATGTTTCTGCCCAATACGCTCGCCAGAGTTCCCATATCCTATCATAATGATCTCTCTTCCCCTGAATGGCCCAATGGACTTCTTCAAGTTCTCTCAAAGCTTCCACTCTAAAAATCCATTGTTCTTTAGTCGGAATACTAGATTTAAGCCAATACAACGGGATCAAAGCATTTGCCTCATTCAATAAGAAACTCAGCAATATCTGTTTGTTACTCTCCTTAAAGGAAGCTGGCCATCCCAATAGAATCTTGGATGGAGATAATTGATCAGGCATTGGTAAAATTTTATAAATGACACTCAGTACCTGTAACCAGTAGCTCCTAATAGGCTTGCACTCCCACCATATATGTTCCATATTCGCCCCCCCTCTCGCCACATCTCCAACAGCCATCCGAAGCTGGTGCACCGTATTTTTTAAGTCGATCTGGAGTATTGTGCCAACTAGTGACTCTTTTAAAAAATATAATTTTCCTAGGAGTGCTCACCTGGGCTTTCATCCCCATTTTGAACACAAATGACCAATCATTGCTGGTCATTTGGATGTTCAAACCTTTCATCCACTTCAATTGGAATGAAAGGACAGTCTTCTCCATAGCTCCCTTATGAAATAAACTAGATATACTGGACAGGTAACTTTTTTTTTCTCTATTCCAGGACCGCAGAGTGACTCAAACTCTGTTCTCTCTCGTCTGCCAATATGGTAACACTTTTTGGTTTATGAAAAACTTTAAGTACATAATACCCATTCTATCTATAAGAGCGTTCATATTGTCCCATGAAGGGAACTCTTTTAATCTATTGGGTGTTTCATCTGTTATTAAACTTGAAACTGAAGGGTCTGCATCTCCTGTTATCTTTTCCAACAGTTTATGACCCGACCCAAACTGGAAATCCACATTAGATGCTTTGGAAAGAATACAGATAGTCCCGGGGATAGTCCCCATCTATCTTTAAGCCTTCTCCAAATCTGTATGGTGTAGTTTATAATTGGGTGTTTAGAGGGTGATGGTAATTTTAATTTACAGTTCTGCCAAGGCAGTGTCTCCAACTTAACCTTAATAAAATCCTGTTCTATCTTATACCAAGGCTTCCCCTTATCTATAGCCGTCCATTCTCTAATTCGCGCACATAATACCGCAACATAGTATCTATAGATATGCGGGAGGCCCAAGCCACCTCTCTCAACAGGTAGTGTCAATATATTATACGCAATACGTGGAGTTTTATGATTCCATATAAATGAAAGGAATGTAGATCGCAGTTTTCTAAAGAAGTCTCTCGGCAGTGAGACCGGCAATGTCTGAAATAGGTATAATATCTTAGGTAAAATCATCATTTTTATAATATTTACTCTCCCGATCAGAGAGAAAGAGGCCTGATTCCATTTTTTAGATCTTCAATCTTTCTCAATAATTTCCATAATTCAATTTAAATAAATCTTTTAACTGTATTGTCAGTTGTGTCCCTAGGTATGTTATACTAGTGTCTGTCCACTTATATTTATATAGCTTTTGTAGTTCCTCTTTAATTCCTGTATTTATCCCCACTCCCAGTATTTCAGACTTATCTGAATTTACTTTAAAATTAGATAGGCCACCGAATTTCTCCAATTCCTCATGGACATAAGGAAATGTATATTGAATTCTATAAGCGTAAATAACAAGTCATAGGCAAAAGCAGTTACTTTGACCTCTCCTCCCATATACTTATATCCTTTAATGTCCCTATTCTTTCGTATGGCTTCTAAAAAAGGTTCAAATGCTAAAACAAAAAGAAGAGGGGACAATGGGCAGGAAAAAAGGGTTGGAAAGTTGACCATTAACACGGACATTAGCAGAAGGGCCTCTATACAATGTCTGTACCCAATTGCAGAATCTTTGGCCAAGCCCCCATGCCTCTAGAGTTGCAAACAGATAGGACTGATCCACCCTGTCAAAGGCCTTCTCAGCATCTATAGTTAACAGAGCTGTAGGACTTTTATTTATTATAATAGCTCCATGTATTACATTCAAGATTTTAGTAGTGTTATCTCTGGCTTCGCGGCCAGAGACAAAGCCCAATTGATCAGGGTGGATCAGTCCAGGTATAAGGGGCTTAAGCCTATTTGCCAAGAGTTTTGCAAATATTTTTAAGTCAACATTAATAAGAGAAATCGGTCTATAACTACTACATTTTTCTGGATCTTTCCCTGCTTTATGTATCACAGCAATTACTGCTCTCAACATTGATGGCGGAATGTCCATAGTTGGAGATAGACCATTAAACGGTCTAAGAAAATGTGGCTCAAGAATATTATGGAACTGTTTATAATAATGTGCCGAGAGACCATCTGGCCCAGGGCTTTTATTAAGAGGCATTGCCTTTATCACTGCCGAAAGCTCCTGAAGGGAAAACAATTCCTCCAATTGGGCTGATGCTTCTTTAGAAATTTTTAATGCAATATTTTTAGATAGATATTGTTCTCTTTCATATGGGGTCTTCTCAGGGAGCTTTAAATTATAAAGGTCTTTGTAATAATTCCTGAAAGTGTTTCCTATTTCTTTAGTAGTATTACAAATTTTCCCTTGTTTATATTTAATTTTGGGTATATATGTTTTTTGTAACTTTACTTTTAAGGCTTTAGCTAACAATTTCCCACTTTTATCCCCATGTGTGTAGATTGTACTTTGCGTCAACTGGACCGCTCTTTGGGCCTCATAAGTCAATAATGACCTCAGCTTAGATCTAATTCCCAATAAAACATTTAAAATTTTCTTCGGTTGGAGTTTGCTTATGCATAGACTCCAGTGTATCCAATTTTTTTTTACGAGCCTTTGTATTTCTTCGGCTCATTCCTTTTTACATCTGGCACCCCATTTAATTAAGACCCCCCTGATCACACTCTTATGCGCTTCCCATATCCATGATTCATTAATATCATCTGTACAATTATCTAAAAAATATTGAGAAAGCGTATCTGATAAGTCCTTGGTGACCCTTGGGTCATCAAGAAGAGACTAATTTAATCTCCATATGTTATTACCCTTCCCATCGCCTTGCAGTTCAATATCCAGGAAAATGGGTGCGTGGTCAGACCACGTAATATTTCCTATTTTTGCTCCCTTTACCAAATGTAGATATCTATGGTTTACAAAAAACATGTCTATCCTAGAATAGCTATCTGCAGCTGATGAATAAAAAGTGTAATTCAGCTGGTAGACAGATGGCCTTAAGTTCTCCTGCAAAATGTCTTAGGAAACTTAGGAATTCATTTTTCCTTCAATGATAGCATTCTGTCCAGGCCCTGACGCAGCAAAACAGCCCCAAACCATAATCCCCACACCACCATACATCACAGTTGGGATGAGGTTTTGATGTTGGTGTGCTGTGCCTTTTTTTCGCCACACATACTGTTGTGTGTTTCTTCCAAACAACTCAACTTTGGTTTCATCTGTCCACAGAATATTTTGACAGTACTGCTGTGGAACATCCAGGTGCTCTTGTGCAAACTGTAAACGTGCAGCAATGTTTTGTTTGGACAGCAGTGGCTTCCTCTGTGGTATCCTCCCATGAAATCCATTCTTGTTTAGTGTTTTACGTATTGTAGATCCGCTAACAGGGATGTTAGCATTTGCCAGTGACTTTTGTAAGTCTTTAGCTGACACTCTAGGATTATTCTTCACCTCATTGAGCAGTCTGCATTGTGCTCTGGCAGTCATCTTTACAGGACAGCCATTCCTAGGGAGAGTAGCAGCAGTGCTGAACTTTCTCCAATTATAGACAATTTGTCTTACCATGGACTGATGAACAGCAAGGCTTTTGGAGATACTTTTAGAACCCTTTCCAGCTTTATGCAAGTCAACAATTCTTAATCGTAGGTCTTCTGAGAGCTCTTTTGTGCGAGGCATCATTCACATTCGCATCATTTTCTTGTGAAAAGCAAACCCAGAACTGGTGTGTGTTTTTTATAGGGCAGGGCAGCTGTAACCTACACCTCCAATCTCATCTCATTGATTGGACTCCAGTTGGCTGACATCTCACTCCAATTAGCTCTTGAAGATGTCATTAGTCTAGGGCTTCACATACTTTTTCCACCTGCACTGTGAAGGTTTACATGGTTTGTTCAATAAAAACATGGCAACATTCCATTCTTTGTGTGTTATTAGTTTAAGCAGACTGTGATTGTCTATTGTTGTGACTTAGATGATGATCAGATCACATTTTATGACCAATGTGTGCAGAAATCCATATCATTCCAAAGGGTTCACATACTTTTTCTTGCAACTAATTACTCATGGAAAACAAAAGTAAAATATTTTTAAATTGTAGAGATCAAATAAATTACCATTGCCACATTTTGACAAAATACCAGGCCCTATATAATACAAAGTATTTTTTCACAAATGTCTTCTGATTTCTGTGGAATTAAAATAAGTGCAAAGCAATATTTACAGGTCTGTCATAATGATTGAAATGCATCAAGATTGGTCCCCTTTCCACTGCCCTATTTGTGTCCCTACAATGCTATAAGTAGCTTTAAGGGTACAACCATTTGGATTGCACCGTGTGCTGAGGGTTTTGTCTTTAATGCTTTATATGCAAAGCTTTACTTATATGAATGGACTGTAGCAAAACTACAAGCAACGTACTCCACTAAGCAATTACTCACCAGCATGACTTATGACTAAATCCGCTTTCTTGAGGTCTTCCGCAAGTGATCGTTTATATCTGAACACGTCCACTGTAAACTTATTAGTACTATAAGGTTTGGGGTTTACTGTCCCCCTGCCAATCTGAAGATCCAATCTACTGTAGCCAAGGCCTTTGAGAATCTGTAAAGAATAAATATATATTGTTTAAACAGGTACATTATAGTCATTATATCCAGGAGGCGTTGCTAGCTAGCATTGCTGTCCTGGAGTATGAGCCCAAAGGAAAGCTCAGTGACCCCTACAAGAGGTGGACATATATGTTATGGATAAAGCTGTAGTAGTTTCCATTACACACAAAACAGTGCTAGATCCTTGGGAACTACATTTTTTTCAAATAAGGGAACTACATTTCTGATAATACTTAGAGTGCTGTTGAGTAGGTTGGGAAAGGTTTAGCAGCATCAAGTGTTTAGCAGTACCCATCCAAGGCTTCCCATAGAAGATAGCTGTGTGTCTTGCAACTGGCATTAACTGACAAGAGCTAAACAAACAGTGCTCACTAATCCGAGAGTCTAAGCAGTAGAACCAGTACATACCAATACCATTAGACTGTGAGCCTATAGGGGAGTTGTGAGGACGAATCCATCCAGCAAATTTAGTGAGGGGAGGAAAGGAGTAACATCCACCCTACCCCCCAGTTATGATAGTTTAGCCTTTAACCCCTTAACCTTGACCAGACCATATTTCAATTTTCTTACCGTTAAGGACCAGGGCTCTTTTTACATTTCTGCAGTGTTTATGTTTAGCTTTACCCACACATTTTATATACCGTTGTTCGCGCCATTAAATGTTCGTTCTAAAGACATTTATTTTCATCATATCATATAATTTACTATAAAAACAATTATAAAATATGATGAAAAATGTAAAAAAATAAAAAATAAAAAACAAACAAAAAAACACACTTTTTCTAACTTTGACCCCTAAAATCTGTTACGCATCTACAACCGCCAAAAAACACCCATGCTACATAGTTTCGAAATTTTGGCCTGATTTTAGAAATACCCAATGTTAACATGTTCTTAGTTTTTTTGCACGTTATAGGGCAATAAGTACAAGTAGCACTTTGCTATTTCCAAACCATTTTTGTTTAAAAAATAACACAAGTTGTAACACTAATATCTGTCAGAAATCCCTGAATAACCCTTCACATGTATATATTTTTTAAAAGAAGACAACCCAAGGTATTAAACGTGAGGTATTTTGACTCTTCCTATGCAACCATTTTACCACCAATCTATGCCAAATTAAAAAAATACTTGGTGATTTTTTTGACACACATAGCAATTTAAGAATACATGTACTGAGAACATTATGGGTTAATGCCAAAGAACACCGCAATATGCATTTAGCAACATCTAGCATATCTACAGTGATACAACCTATGCATAGGTTTGTTGGGTTGTTTTGGGGGGGTGCAATGCCAAACTTCTGACATCAAATTTGACATATCTTCTTTGCCCATCTTTTGGGGGGCCTTTTTAGATATCCCAATTCATTTTCTTGCCATGAGCATGCATATATTTGAAAAGTTGACACCCCATAGTATTGTATATGGAGTGTTTTGATGCCTTTGATGCAATCCTTTTAGTTAAACAAAAAAAAAAAAAAGTGAGAAAATGTGTGGTGGTAATTTTAAAATTTTACACACACATTTGTGTGTGATTTAGAGGAGCCTGTTGTTGGTTATTGCAAGAAAACACTCCAGGTTGTTTTCTGCAAGGCCTCCTGAGTACACCCATGTCCCCCATGCATAGGTTTGCCAGGATTTTGGGAAGGTTCAGTTACAATTGTATGACTTGAAATTGAGAGTATTTCTTCTGAAATGCCTATCTTTAGTTTGGGGCTTATCACGTACCCCAGTTTTATTTATTGCCATGAAAGTGTATATATTTGAAACTTAGACACCCGAGGTATTGTATATGGAGTGCTTTGATGCAACTGTTTTAGCCCTAAAAAATTGGAGAAAGTGTGTGGGGGTAATTTTTCAGTTTTACACACACACACACACACACACACCTTTTTGATTTTAGGAGAGCCTGTTGTTGGTTATTGCAAGAAAACACTCCAGGTTGTTTGCTGCAAGGCCTCCTGAGTAAACGTAACAAAAAAAACAGAACGGCAAAAGGTTAAAAAAAAGAAAAAAAAAAAAGAAAAGAAAATTTAAAAATTTACCAGTTTGTGGTATCATTTGAAGCAGTCTTCAATGCAGAGTCCTGGCTGTCCAGGGCAATCAGGATAGTAATATATGGTATCTTTTCTCTGGCCCCTCTTAAAACAGACTCTGCATCTTTTTGGGGGATTCTGCTTTGCTGCAGTAAGGGATTTTAAAAATAAAATGTGTAGCCCCAACTCTGCTCTCTCCCATCACTGCCTGGGGAGCAGGTGCATCATGGTACAAAATTCCCAAAATGATGTGGAGCTGAAACTGTACAAGAGTCAGTTGCATTCCGGGATTTGCTTTTGTGCACAACAAAAAAGCATTGTGGGTTGCAATCTGCATTAAATAGATTGCAACCTTTTTGTACCAGGCCCTTGTCTTCTGTATAATTAGGTAGGGCTGCAGCAGCTGATCTGCCAGATCAACCCCGCCCATATGCTGGTTATAGGCCTTGATGCACACTGGCTTCCTTGTGCTCTCAGCTCTGCCACGTACAGAGACCTCCACATCCCTGTCAGTGTTGAGGGTGGTAAGAAGGTACACATCCTTCTTGTCTCTGTACTTAACTGCCAACAGCTCCTCTTGGCGCAGAGCTGAGGTCTCCCCCCTTCATAGCTGAGTGCCTTCACGTTGTCCTGGGAAACCTGCGCGGTTCTTTTTTTAATTGTACCGCAAGCTACTGTATCAAAACAATACAGTAGCTTGAACAAAGGGACACTTGTATAAAAATTGGCTGTATACAAGTGGTACCATTTGTTCATCAGGGGGAATATCAGGTCCCAGACAATCTTGTCACTGGTTCCCATATGTTCTGGGCTACCTGGAGGGTTAAGGTAGCTATCCTTTCCCTCATGCACCCAGTCTCGCTATCACAGAGCTTATACACCTTTACACCATACGTGTAATGCTTGAATTCCATCCTTCCCTTATACTTCATCAGTATAAAATCACAAAAAATGAACCCCTAAAAAAAATGCACAGACAGCAAAAAAGTGCAAAATTTTTATTATCTTCACTGAGTGCCTCGACCTCTCGAGGAACTCAGCACAGGCAGAGCATCGGAAGCATACCCGATGGCTTCTGATGCTCTGCTTAACTGCCGGGCGCCACGTGGAGCAACCCGGAAGTGATCGTTACGCGGAGGGGGGGCCCATCACCCAACGCCTGGCAGTAAGGAGAGGTATTGCACGATGCCTCGACATCGAGGCATCGGTGCAAGACCATCAGAGTGGCTGGAAGCATCATGCGCTCAAATTAGCCACGGACGAATCAGGTACGTTTGCAGTCATTAAGGACCTGTTTTTGTCAGACGTACCCGATACGTCCGCGGTCAGGAAGGGGTTAAAATCATATCTTCTAGAGCAGGACTTCACAAATTTGTTTGAAACCTAGGAGCCAGTTATGTATTTGTTTTTAAACTAACAAAGCTTAATTGTCAACAACAAAAATAAAATTTTTAAAGAGAAGATTTTTCACATTGGGCACCTAAAGGCTTAAGGCTGGCCGTGTATATCTTATTTAGCTCATTTTTTTATTTTATTTATCTCATTTTTGTTCATACTGAGAGCACTATTACTGTTTTATACATTCTGTGGAACCCGATGGAACACAGCCGAATAGACGGACCTACCTCTCCAGCATACCCACCAGTGGGGAACATACCATCAAGCGTCTCTCACACAAGAGCCGGTCTAAACTACAGCCAAGCAATCCATAGGTGGGGATAATTCCACCAGCGCTGTGATAATAGAGCAGTATTTTCTGCTCTATTTCTGTGAGTATTTCATTTATTTTATTTTAATTTCAATTGTTCCTACTATTGCTGTTTCATATATCCTGTGGGATTCGACGGAACCCAAGTCGGACGGACGGACTACCATCCAAGTATATCCTGAAGTGGGGATTATACCACTAAGTGCCCTTCATCTCAGAGCTGGCCGTAGCTCCATCAAATGGGAGTTCTAAATCCTGATTCTGATTTAATTTTTTATCCTTGGATTTACAATACTTCACTATCTGCAGTTCTCTTTGTGTTTCTTATTTCCACATAAATGGACGATTTCTAACCCGGACGGAACCATCTCCGAGGACTGTAATCATACTTGATATCAGTGAGACAGTTTTTTATTCCATTTGGAATTTCTCTACTTTTTAATCTATTCTTATTGAAAAATTTGTACGGACATTACTTTTATATATATTTTAACTTGAACCTATCCATTAGTTTTTAGTACTTGTATATACATGTTTTATACTTATTGATTTCCGGTGTACTAACAGCACAGCCCTAAACTCCTCTATTTATTTGTCTATTTTAAAGGGTTTCTGAGGGATTCCCTTTGAGGGTTGCAGCTTTTCCGTTATTAAGCGCAGACTCTTCCCCCTCTACATACATATCATATATATACACACACACACATATACACACACATATATATACATACATACATACATATACACACACACTTGTTTTTTTATTTTAATTTAAGTCCACCCAGCCACCCTACTTTAGGGAGAGCTGGTGTGTATCTTTCCCCTGGGGTCCAGTGTGGCTGCAGTGGCTGACTAATCTTCAAGCTCTTGCTGTTCTTCTTCACGCGCTGTTTAGTGATGCTGGGGTGGAGTGACATCATATCTCGGCTCCTGACATCACAGCAGGGCACGTTTACTTACTATTCACTTACCACCTCAACATACTGTAAACTCATTTGAGCAGGGCCTTCTTCGCCTCGTCTCTAATAATATCATCATCATATCACTTTTTTTTTTTTACTATTACTTTGTCAGATATCCCATTTATATCATTATAAAGCATGGCAGAATATATTTAAAATAAGTTTCTTAGCAATGCCCCTCCATGGTCCAATCAAATGATTCTCATAGAAAAAGGTTTGTTTGATAGGACCATTTGACTAGGTCAAAGGGCATGTTGGGCAATTTTTTTTTTTTAAATTCTTTAGCATGCTGCGGTCAAGTGGCTCAGCTGCTACAGAAAGGACAAGGCCAGGGCAGGTAGTATGTGGTCTGCACCTCTGCCAGTAATCGCTCCCTCACAGTCCCAGCACCCGCTGAGTCACAGCGAAGCTGCTAGTATTCCAAGTCTGTGCTCAGACTGACTAAATGCCAGAACTGTGAATGGTTATTACTATAACTGCTAATTACGTCTGTTGCTAGCAGTGTAGTGTGGCAGACAAGACCATAGGCGTGCGCAGCCTATTGTACAAGGGTGTGCACCCTAAAGCAGAAACACACACACACATATATACACACATACACACACACTGCTGTGTGTGTGTGGGTGCTGTGTGTGAAGGCACAGTGTGTGTGCGGGCACTGTGTGTGGGGACGTGCTGTGTGTGAAGGCGCTGTTAGTGTACGAAGGCACGGTGAGGCTGTGTGTGTGTGGGTGCTGTGTGTGTAAGGGAGCTGTTAGTGTGTGCTTTGTGTGTGTGGGTGAGGGTGCTTTGTGTGTAAAGGTGTTGTGTGTAAGGGTGCTGTGTGTGTATGTGTGAGGGTGCTGTTAGTGTGTGTAAGGGTGTTAGTGTGCGTATGTGTAAGGATGATGTGTGTGTGAAGGCGCTGTGTGTGTGTGTGTGTGTGTGTGTGTGTGTAAGGGTGTTGTTAGTGTGAGGGTAATGTTAGTGTGTGTGTGTGCTGTATGTTTGTGTGTAATGTGTGGGGGCCGTTTAGTTAATATTACATAAGGTAAGAAGGGAGGAGGGACCGTGCTCCTCCCTTCCCTGGTGGTCCAGCGGAGAGTGAACAAGCGCGAGAGGAACCCGGCAGAGCTGCTGACAAGATCTCCCCAGGTCCTCTCCTGCCTCCCTCCCTGCCTTTGATCTCCCTCACTGGCCCATGGAGGGAGGCACATAGCGCGTGCCGCGGGGATTAGGGTGTGCCTAGGCACACCCCGTGCGCACGCCTATGGACAAGACCTTTTTAGTAGTGTGGAACAGAGTTCTGGGCTGCCAAAGTCACTTATGCCAGGGGAGTAACGTAACTATCCCCCAGCACACAAGAGCTTGAGCAGAGTTATAAGCAGAAACGCAGTACATACAGACTCCTACTACCATGACCACTTAAATAGAACTGGTAATGGTAGTTGAAGTAACTCCTTAACCTTTGCCCCCTCCCTGAAGAAAGATAAGCAGGAATGGCTTAAAAAACAAAACAAAACACACACACACACTACAGGGGGCAAAGGTAGGAACACCATGCCCAGGGCTCTAGGCAGGGGCCTTACATTATGTGGTTCAGCACACACATACAACACACAGCCAGCATAGACACACAAACACAAACCTTAACCTCATGCAGCCAGCATGCACAGACACACACATCCATCACAGGGCAGAGGTTGAGCCACTATGCCCAGGGCTGTAGACATCAGTCTTAATTGTTCTAATTGGAAATATTTTGAGGGTCGTCTCTATAGTGGGGGGGGACCAAACTTCCGGGTCGGTATATGACAGATGGTTGTTTATGAGCGCAGGGACAGCTGATAGTTTGGCAGCACTCTGTCAATGTAAAAAGGTGTGTGTGTGAATATTACATAAAAAACATTATATATATATAGTGCTCGTTTGCGTACATTCCGCATATTGCAGTGTACAGGTATGACCCATGCCATAGGTGTTAGCCATGTATCGCAGTTGGAATGACTGTCAGCCTGCTGATACACACAGATAACACACTAACAGAATCACACAGCAGGAAGGCAGGCTGTGTCACCGCTTACCGTGATGTTCTCCTCGGCAGTCACACAGTCGATCAGTTGGTCGAAGCTCGTTGTGCCCACGGTAACAAAGACACACTTGGCCATCCTGTAAACCGCGGCCACATATCGTGACAGCTACCGCAACACTTCTACTTCCTAATGAAACGAAACCCAGCTCCCTATTGGACGCCAGAGCCTCAGTGTTTAACCAGCCGCCAAAGAGGTATCTGTGCGCCCTCATGTGGCCCTGTGAGAGTGCTTCAATCCTTTTTAATTAGGTTTTGGTAAAAATGTTATGTATTAGTAGTAACGATAGTTAATGGGTGTGGTGTGAACATAAAGGTACACGTGTCTTTCCAATATGATATATTACAATTATGTGGAAAATAGCATGTTCTGTTCCAATGTCAGTATGTTCCCAGATATGTAGATTCAATGTGATACTTCACGATGTAAAAAATGTTAAAGCAAAATGTATTAAGAGTAGACACGGGCAACGTTCTAAGTGTGGCACAGTCACCATAGAAACCAATGAAATGTTCCTGCTGATTGTCTCTCTTTTAGAATTGTTCCTCAGAATTACCATTTACACATAAACCCTTACTTAGTGTGGTCTCATATCACAGGTTTTTTTCTCATCCTAAGAGCTGCATCAATTTGCCAAATTTGCTAGACTTGTGCCTGGCGAAAAAATTTGACTCGGTCAAAGCATTTTTCCAGAAAACAGTCCATTTTTCAGGGTTGCCTGAAGTTCAGGTGAATGTCAATTTAGTTTGTTAGAATTTCCATACTGAAAATCTAGTTTGGGAACCGAATCAGACAAATCAAAAGGGCCTGAAAATGGAAATGCAAAATATGTGCATAATATAATAATATAATAATGTATATATGTTGCAGTCCACTCATAAGAGCATTTTCCCACAATACGGTTCACAAATCAAGTGATAAAAACCAAAACAAAAGAGGCGAGTTTGTAGATGGCAAAGTGTGTGTTTGTTAGAGTGGGCACAATAAGCTTCAACCAACTGATTGACTGTGTGACTGCATCACAGAATATAGGTATATATTTACACATTATACATTAACTAATATATAAATATAGTTTTATTTTTTGCAGCTCCTACTTTTTCCCTCTATTGCTTAATTTTCACTTAATATGTGAATAAATTCAACATATAGTAACTGTCCCATAGCGGTAATTTTTTCCATCTATCAACTCTTTTTTTTTTTTTTGGCACCCTAGGAAGAATTCAGGGGCAGAGAGGGAGGAATGGGACACATGGAGGGGAGGAGTAATAGAGGGAGGAATGGGGCACATAGAGGGGAGGGAGGAGGGAATCAAACACATGAAGGGGCTGGGGGGAGAGGGAATGGGACACATGGAGGGGCTGGGGAAAAGAAAAATTATACACATGGAGGGAATATTGGGCCAAGGGAATATGGGACATATAAAAGGGCTGGGGTGAGTGTATGGGACACATAAAGGGGCTGTGGGGTGAGGGAGTGAGACATGTGGAGGGGCTTTAGGGGGTGGGAAATAAGACACATGAAGGGGCGGGGGAGGTAATAAGTCACATGAAGGGGCTGGGAGGAGGGAATGAGACACATGGGGGGCTTGGGGTCAGGAATAAGACACATGGGGGCAGGGCAACATTCGCACCTGAGCCCAGTTGTTTCTAGTTACAGCTCTGACACAGTATATAACCACTCACTCAGAAACAGAACACAAACACTGCTATATGCACATACTCAGAAACAGTATATACATAAACTGCTACACCCAATGCTACACACAGTCAAACATAGTGCACATATTGTAAATAGCTTTCTAGTGATATTATGAAATTTTCACGTCCAAATGTTTTTTTTAATCTTTTATGTCACTCCCTGTGGTGTTACATAACATCATGGGATGGCATTGGCCTGTAATGTCATTCATATATCATTAATGATAAACAATTAGCATGGCCAGTATGTTGTTTGATTGTTTTTGTTTTTTCAGTGGTAACTTTTCAGGTTACGTTAGTGTTCGTCTTAGTGATCGTTTAAGTGACGTGGCTGTACGGTTATTTATTATGTATGGGAACCATGCACACGACTGTATGTGATTTATGCATACAATGATTGTCATAATGCCACTTTGTGTGATGTGTTTTGTATTGTATTGTATTATGTGTTAAAATAATATATGAACTCATAAATAAATAAATTTGAAAAAAACAAAAAACTATCCAGGTTATGTACACTTTCAGATTTGTAAAGACTATAAGGATTTCTTCACTAAACTGTAAACTGTAGTCAATTAAAAAATAAATTTGTTGCAATTTGTTTTTAGTTAATATAACCTGATTCTCTAATGTATATATATACACACATATATATATATATATATAAAACATTTTACCAGGAAAGATACATTGAGATTTCTCTCTTTTTCAAGTAAGTATGTATACTTAAAAACCTATGACAAGGTAAAATATATATCATGTAACATGGTTGAAATTTTTAAAACGAGTCCATTTTCATTTAAAAATTAATCATGGTCATCTGCTAATTATTGTTTATTCATATGCCAAATAAAATGCAATCAGCTGCATAAAGCAAACTGCACATTTATAGACAACACATTCTTTTACAGAAACATTACATTTTGTTACTTGCCATTTGTGGGTCTCTTATGTCATGTAGGTATTGTTTACACATTTGGACTAATGAATACTTTAGTCATTGTCAATTACTTGCTTGCAATCAGTCAGTGTTCGTTAATTAATCTGGGCTTATATCACAAAAGCAGGGCTCTAGGTTTCAATCACTGATATCAGCTCTCTCTCCTCCTACATTCTGTCCAGACTTACCATGTACTCCACTGGCCTCTCCTCCGATGGCTGCTAGAGGGGCTTCCTGGGGCAGTGCTGCTCAGTGTGCAGCACTGCCATTTAGTGTCTCCACCTAGTGGTGTATTTCCCACGGGGCTAACAAGGCATTTGCCTTAAGTGGCACTTTTAGGAGGAGGCATTTTTTGCTGCCCCCCTTAAAGTGCCGCTCAAGGCAAATGCCTTGTTAGCCTCATGGGAAATACCTAGTGCCTCCTGGAAAATGTCTTGTTAGCCTCTGTAGTGGACCACGAGTAACCCGACTGGTAACTCTGCTAATACCTTTACTCAGTCACTCTGGAACCATCAGTACCAGTAAATTTCCATTCCCCCAACAACCAGATGAAACATAGTCCTGGGAGTCAACTGAAGTGATTTTAATTAGGTATGGTACAGCCAAGTTATACACAGATCCCCAGCAGGGGGAATTACACTCAAACTCCTCCCCTGTGCCTGGGAGATAATTGAGTCCGGAACTGTAAAAACTCAATTATCTCCCAGCTACAGAAAAGCATACAATTTTTAAAATACCCCAAAAGTACATTTTAATAACTTTGGAACCCCACGAAGGTAATATCACCGAATAGCTTGGATCTGAGCGCACACTTCACCTAAATATTACTCAGATCCCTTCATTGGTTTCTTTCCCTTAGAGCTACTACATGAGCACAGTGGATGGGAAGACAAAAAAAGAGTGCTAATACGTAAGGTAGAGGCATAAGCGCCTTCTTCCACTGCATCTCTAATCTGGGGGAGGTGTCACGACAAGGGTACAAAATTCATTGTTGCACTATAGGATATTGCCATTTAATGTAATTTGTGTAGTGCATATATGAACTGTCTGCCTGGTAGATGTGGTTTTGTCAATTTCAAAAGGGGTTAATTTGATTGTATGGGAGATCAGAGCTTACATCTTTGAAGCTGGGACCCCAACAGAGCTACTCTGTAAGGTGTGAGAAGTCACACATAAGTGGCCTGGAAGTCTGGTTTCAGTAAAAACTAACTCTCTCATTTACCATATGTCTTGATTCCCTCTTAGATTAAAAGTCCTTTGATATAAACAAGCCTTGTGTTTCAATATCATATCCAAAAGAGACATTAATACCTACCGACAGATTAATACTCAAGCCTCATTTTTATCATATTTAGGATGGGACAAGCACAATCTTCTAATCAAGCCTAAACATGATTTGCAGACAAGGGGACCCCACAAACAATACATAGTTAAATAGCTCTGATCTGAGCTCCCAAGTTCTCCAAATAGCACTCAGATCCATGCAGTGTAGGGGAAACGCCACCGTGTTAATGTTCTGACCCGCCACACACATGGTCCTATATCCAAAATAGTTCCAGGGCATTTGGTGCTTTTGCCGGTCAACTTTTCAGGTGCTCCTGCGGCCGCAATACGGGGTGCTCCACGTGGCTCTTAGGTAGCGTTTGTTCCCCTTAGTCCCAGGCACCCGGGAAAGCTACTAATGGCGGCTGGGCAGGGTAACTCACAAACGGTGTCCCAGACCTTGACCATAGTCGGTGGACAGGGAGCATGATCCTCTGAGCTCTACTTGCTCAGCTCCCTCGCACCCCTTAGTAATGCTGGGAGCTGGTATATGATGTCACTCAGGCTCCTGGCATCACTAAGCGGTGCGCGAGGGAGCTGAGCAGGAAGATTACAGCTCCCTCGCTGCCTCCACTGTGCGCCTGCCTGTCTGCCTGCCTGCCTGCCCGCACACCCTGCCACCCAGCCAGACTAGCAGCAACCAGCAGACAGCCCAGCAAACCCCACTGGACCACATGGAATAATTCACTCCAGCTCTCCCACCTGCTGGGTGTGTCAGTGTGTGTCTGTCAGTCAAACTGATTCAATAAGGAGATGCTGATTGGCCAGGGCTGTGTTTTGCTTGTGCTGGCTATGCTCCTGATTTGCCTCCTTGACAGTCTTAGCCAATCCTATGAGAAAGCATTGTGATTGGCTCACATAATCACTTCTGATGATGTCAACCAAGCAGGCAGGTCAGGGGCAGAGTCAGCAGCTGCTGCCTTGAATATAAGTAAGATTTTACTATATTTAGGGAGGCAATGAGAGGGGGATAGTGGTGGAGGGGGAAGGAAGAGGGGGGCTAAATGGTGGTTTTAACACTATAGGGTTAGGAATGCATGTTTGTATTCCCAACCTTATAGTGTCCTTTTGATAGGTGCAAAAAGGGCATTGAAGTAATGATTCCAAGGAGTAGAATTATCTCCTTATGGCTTTCATATCGATTTGGTAAGTTAACCTTATATTCTGTACTATCTAGTTATATTAGTTTTAGAGACTAACTTTGTAGAACTTATTGGTGTTGCA